ATGTTGCTTCTTGCTCCTGTAGCTCACACAGCCAACACAGGCCAGAGGGCCAAGGTGTCTGCCTCGGGGAAGGAGGCCCAGCTCATACTCTGTAAGGGAGGCTATTTCCTCTGTTTGCAACTGGAAGCCCACAGTCCAATTTGACTCCTGTCCCAGACTTATTGGCCACCCAGTTCTCCCATCCCAGGTGACTCACTGCTCTACAACAGCCCCAGATTGCTGTGTCAATCCTGAAAGACTAGAGCTCTCTGTCCCCTCTTCATCCCTGCCAAATGCTTGGGAGCTGGGCTGAGGACTGATGAGTCCTGGTCTGTAAACTCTGAGCTCTCAGGATGAAAGACTATTGGGAAGTACAAAGTCACTCGCTGCCTGTTGTTAGTTTTTCTTTGTGAGTCTCAAAGTGCCAGGCAGCCAGAGCAGTGTGTGAGACAAAGGCTGCACACCAGAGTGGCAGGAGAACTACTCCAGGTGCCAGGCTCGGCAAGGTCAGCCAGGGGCCACGGGAAGTAGTGGGGGGGGCGTCTGGCAATCTCCACACTCAGTGCAGACACATGCATGTGAGCACATCTCACCTCTAATCTGGACCCAGGCAGCCTAATGATGGAATTTTGTTCTAGAAGTCTGGACATTAATTTTAGCACAGGCAGGATATGGGAAAAATGGGAAAGAAAGATCTTGTAAAGATTCCTTTGTGCTTAGGGAATTCAAATGAGATGTGTCCCGAGCTCTCAGTGATGCTCATCCAACATTCATGCTCTAGGACATCCTGGTAAAGACCATGATCTGCCCCTTGTCCTTCCACTGGCTTCAGTAGAGAGACACTTGCATCAAACTCTGAGTGATCTCTCAAGGGTCCCAGAGAATCTGGTTCAGAGTCAGTCTTTAAAACAATACAGCATGGGCCAGGCTTTATGACACACACCTGTAATCCCACTTTCTCAGGAAGCTGAGGCAGGAGGATCCTAAGTTTGAGGCCAGTGAGTCTTAAAATTTTAAATAAGGCTGAACCCATAGCCCAGTGGCAGAATGATTACTTAGCACACACAAGGTATTGGATTGAATCCTTAGTACTGCAAATAATAAAAGCAAAAAATATAATGCAAGACTAACATTTTTTAGGGGGGCCAGATCTTCCTGCCCCCAATTTCACAGCTCTTCCCTGCTGAGGGTTGTCAGCGACACAGGGCCTAGAGGGTGAGGCTCTGCCCTCACCAGGTGGAAGTGACAGTGTCAGGAGACAGGGAGGGCATTGCCCCAGGCCACACAGATACTGGCAAGTATAGCCACAGCTGCCTGGCTTCCAGCTGTGCTATTTCACGACATCATCAGTGGACTTAGAACCCCCTCCTCCAGTACGGCTACCAGGTCTGCCAAGATTATGCCTGTGGGGTAAGGGAGACGGTGGGTGGAAGCAACCTCACATGGGGATATCAGGTGTCAGCCCCCAAACTCTCCATGAGTCATGGAGCAGAGCTCATACCTGCAGCTCTGCCCCACCCAGTTCTGTACCAGGCAGGAAAGAAGCCCATTTACCCACACCGCCTGTGTACGTGGGTGGTGTGCCCCCTCCTGCTATTTACGAAGCAGGAACTGGGGTGCTGCTGAATGTGTGATCAAGGATCAGGGAGAGCCAAGAGATTAATGTCCCTTCTCTTTCCCTTCTTTGCCCCTCCCACTTTCCAGATTTCCTCCCACATCTAAACTGATGTCTGTAGCTCTCACTCTTTCCAACAAGTGTGGCCCAGTTCTGAATAGGACCCCTTCCAGCTACCTGGTATCCATGTTCTGGCCTGCTGGCTGCTCTGAGAATGCAATGAGAGGGTCCTGGAAGCCTCAGATTGGGTGGAGGGGACAGAAAGGGGATACTTCCAGTTCTGCAGTTTACTGTTATCTTAATTACCCATCCTGTTGGGTTTGAATCAGACCTCTCTAGTTACATACCAGGGATTCAGGACTGCTAGTTCCCATTGCCATGACACTTTTTCCTGATATCTTGTTTTGGAACATGACTCTCCCCTATGCCTTCCCCATTCTAAAGAATTCCAAGTTTCTAAAATTCCTCTAGTCCAGGCCTTGGGTCTGTTTGCTATCTGTTCACCAGGCAACTCCCTGAAAGAAGGCATTTCAAAGAGCTGGATGGCCACTGGGAAGGAGGGAACAAGAGAGGTGGGGGAAAAAGACAGCAGGTAAGGTAATAGTGAGACATTAGGAAAGACTTTCTCGTAAGGGGAGAGATGCTGGAACAGATAACTGAGAGGCCTGCAGACTCTCCTCTAATCCACTCCCCGCACCCTGCTCCCATGAGTAGCCCTCTCTCAGTGGTCAGCTGTGCCTGTTTTCCCTCACACTAGGGATTCATGCTTTCTGAAGCCCAACAAGTGGCTTGCTACCAGCTGGGTTCCTGCATCTTTGCTGGCCTCTTGACTGAGCTGGCCTTCCAAGGTGCTAAGAGAAGACGTGAATGTAGAGGGAGAGTAGGGGGGAAAGGAAGAGGGATGGCCTCCTGAGCCAAATCCTCGAACTGCTGATCCTGGAAAGAGGCACCTTCTCATTCCCTCAGGCTACGGATTCCCACACTGCAGGAATCCACATCCAACAGAGTTGACCAACAGTCTTCAGGAAGGACACCTAGACACACTCTCCCAGTGGGAAGAGCCAAAGAGGCAGCCCGGCTTTCAAATTTCTATAGCTGCTTCTCCTCACCAGGTTGAAGATAGCACTGGAGTCCTAGGATATTCCCAGCAAACAAGCCAGAGCCTGCCTGCCTATCCTCAACCTCTGGTGCTATCCAGAAATTAAGGGTAGGAAAGGGATTTTCTACACTGTGGGCCACGGTTGGAACTGCCCAACTTCTAGTCAAGTCTTTTGAAGCCGTTTTTATGTGGCAGCTGCGGCAGGAGCTCTGGTGATGAGCAGAGATCCAACGAGATGGGTGTGGTTGTCCAGGTCATGCTAAGGTGCAGCCCAAAGTCTTACCTCTGGAAAGTACTTTGTGACTTTAACCCCAGTAAGCCTCTGTTACTCTCTCTGTAAAATGGGGACAGGAGCACCTGCTACCAGGATTGTTATGGGGATCAAATGAAGATGAAGCATTTGAACATGCTTTGTACCAGCCTGGTGACTAGTACAAAGTAGACATTAATAAAACACTCGCCTGCAGAAGAAAAAAAGAAGTGAGAATCCAGGGCTTCCCCAGCTGGGCCTCCAGGCAAGTTTGGTTCTACAGGGAGGATGTGCACACCCAAAAGTCCGCTGCTGGGAAGCCCAAGGGCAGAGCACTCTTCCTAGCAGCGGCCCAAGGTTGGCACCAATTGGGGTCTCAGCTCTGTTCTGCTCACCCCGACAGAGGCAGAAGCTAAGGGCCAAAGGAGTCACTCCCGAACATCAGAAGAGGACAAATGCCTAAAGCCTGGCCCAGTTCTGAGGGAAATGTGGGTCACAGAAGCAGCAGCCTCTCGCTCCCTGGGGTTGCGAGCCGAGTAGGGAATCCTCTCCGAGTCTCCTCCGGAGGCGGCAGGCACTGCTGCCCATTCTCCAATGGCCGAGCAGAACGGATGGAGGTGTGGCACGGGGTGGGGGCAACTGGCGCACACCTGGCCCGGGCTCCCTCGGAGAAAGGAGGGCAGTGACAGCTTCCTGGGCGCTCGGCGGCCAGGCCCCGCAAGGTCCGCTCGCTCGCCGCCTCGTCAGCCCCGCGGCGCGCGGAAGCTGGCTGGGTGCAGCGTCCTTCCTCGGGGACGCGGCCGCCGGGCGAGGCGCGCGCTGCCGCTGCCGGACTCGGGGCGCAGTCCCTCCCACCCTGCCGTGAGACAGCTCCCACACAGACACGCGCGACCCCGGTGCCTGTCACCCGCGCTGCTCGCTCAGACCGGACTCACCCGCGCGGCGCCGGGGGCGGGTGAGCGGGCGGCAGGTTTCTCCCAGCGAAACGGGGTTCCTGGGCGCGCCGAGGTGCCCTACCTTTCTCCCCGGGGTCGGGCTCCCGCTCCCGCTCCCGCTTCCTCCCCTCTCGATGCTTCTTGCCGCGGCCGCGGCCCCTCCTCCTGGGCTCCGACATTCTACCCCGGGTCCCCGGGCGGTGGGACGGCCTCGGCTCTCCGCTGCCGCGCTGCGCCCCCGCCGCCTGCAGCCCCAGTGCCCGAGCGCGCGCCTTTCTTATAGGCGGTCACACCCTCCGGGGGAGGGGAGCGGCGAGCCTTAACTCTTCCCCTCCCGCGCCCGCCGCCCTCGGCCCCCCTCCACTGGCTCAGGCTGCGGGGGGCTGTGGGGTCCATCTCTGGGCCCTGAGCCGCTTCCGGGGCCCACCGGAGTGGGCAGGATCAGCGCCGCAGACCTCCTGGCCAGAGAGGGGGCTTGAGCTGGGCTAGGGGCCTGTGCGGAATTGGGGGGCAGAGATCCCCCAGCGAGGGCCAGGCTAAGGACAGCACGGAGGTGGGGAGACAACAAGAGCAGGGCCCAGGAAGGGACCAGAAGCAAGCTCACTGGCCAGCCTAGAGGGCAGGAAGCACCCTGCCGCCTGCAGTGGGTCCCACAGCCTTGCCAGGCAGTTGGTCCCGAGCTTGCTCATCCCTGGAAGTCCCCATGGGACACCACCATCTGAGGACTAGCTTTCCCGAGCCCTGTCTAGGAGTGGCAGGAGGTCTGTGACCGAGGAGCCCCTCCCAGCCAGGTTGTGCTGCAGCCGGAGACTAGATGATCCAGGTGGCTTGCAGCCGCCACGTGCACTGCCAGCTGCCACCCCACTCCTCAGCCCAGGTGCAGGCCAGGCCGGCTCCTCTCTCCAAGACCTGCCAGGTGGAATCAGATGCTGCTCCCCCACCGCAACTGCAGCAGGAGGGCAGTGGGCAAGAACAGCCTGGCTCCCGCCTCCTGCCTGGGTGTGGTGCTGAAAGGGTTACAAAGCAAAGGCTCTCCCTCTCCTGGCTCCCAGAAAGCCTGAGCCTGCGGTTTACTTGCCTAGCTCTGCCTGAGGTGTCCCCTTACAGCCATCCCTACTAGAATCCCAGTCAAAGCTCACCCCAGCCCGTCCTCCGTCTCCGTCTCCTCCGCAGAGGGTCCCAAGGCTGCTCTGGACAGGATCCTTCTTAGAAGAGCCTGCAGGAGGCTAAGGATTCTGGGTCAAGGTGAGGAACTCTGGAGTTCCAGGGCCTGGCCAGACCCCGAGGCCAGACTCAGGGGATGGGAGCACAGAGAGATCATGGTGATGTCCGTCCTGAGGGCTGATCTCTGGTGCTCAAGCCTGTTTTAGCGGGGGCCAGCTCGGGAGACCAAGTGTAAGTGCTAACAAGGGTACAGAAAGGGCTGGGGATGGAGTACAGGGGCAGAGCAGTTGCCTAGCATGTATGAGACCCTGGCTTCACTCCCCAGTACAGCATGAAGACTTAAAGGACAGTGAGTACCTATCCTGCTTTGTGTAGGCTCACTTCCCAGGGGGTGGGGGCACCTGGTCCTGTGTAGAGCCAGTGCCAAGGACCAGGTCTCACATCTCCAACCTCCTGTTCATTCAGCTTCCAAAATGGCATCATGGGCCACTGCCCCAGTTCACACCCTCCTCCTCTATCTCCTTGCTTGAAGTCTTGCCCTCTTAGTCTGACCTCTCCCAAGACCTCCAGAGTGATCTTCCTAGAACCCAAACCAGATCCTTTCACTCACTGTTACCACAGGCTAAAGCCAACTCCTCCCAGGTATCCGAAGTCCTGTCCCACAGAGCTCCGCTTGTAATTGTCTAGTGCCTGTGCATCAGCCACATCTCCTTGCTGGCCACACACACACTGTGTTCTGTCTCTTCTCCACACCTTCGCACACACTATCTCAATCTTTGCCCAGAATGCTCTAGGCTTTCTTGGCCTGTTTACTCATTTGGCAAATGTGCAGGAAGATTTCCTGTGTTGGGCACAGTACTAGGTGCCGGGGACGTGACTGTGAGCAAAACGGACATGGAGGTTAACATGAAGGTTACAGTCTTAGTGGAGATACACAATAGCTAGATACACAAGTTATCTACATGAAGGTTACAGTCTTAGTGGAGATACACAATAGCTAGATACACAAGTCATAGATGAATTAAAATTTGTGTTAAATATTAATATGGCGTACTCACTCTATAAGCATTTATGTATGTTGACATACAGATTGACAGAGGAAAAAAACTATTGTGAGGGAAGGCTTTCCCTAGGAAACATCTAAGGTGAGATTTGAAGAATGAGTAGGAGTTGGCCAGGCTAAAGGGGAAGTAGGGAGAGTGTTCTTGGCAGAAGCAACAGCATGTGCAATGGCCCTGAGGCAAGACAGTTTTTGTGTCACTGTAAAACAGAAAATTAATTTGCTGGTGTGTGTGTGTGTGTGTGTGTGTGTGTGTGTGTGTGTACACGTGCACATGCACAGGGGTGTGGGGTGTGTAGGAGAGTAATACACATGATGTCAAAGGAGCCTGGAGAGGAGGCAAGCAGTGGTCAGATCAAGCAGGACACAGCAGGCCCAGTGACGACAATGAGCTGTGTCTTACGAGCACTGTCTTCTCTGGGACGCTTCTGAGCAGTGAGTGGAGGGGAGAGAGAAGGCAGTGATTAGATTCTCTATGCCCTGAATACTTTCTAGATCTCTATAAGAGCACTTTACTTTGCAGTTTTTAGTATGTACCTCTCTCTTCCCGCTAGCTAAGATGTCCTCAGCTCTGTGACCCTAGCACCTCGCATGTGGCAGGCACTTAGTGACCCCCTCCAGCTAGGAAAGAGTGACCAAGGGGAGTAGCAGTGCTCCGAGTTGGGGCTTGAAGACCAACTGAAGATACCTTCTTCTGGACACAGGTTTTCTGGCAGTGCATAGCAGCTCAAGGCTTGGTATCCCATGACATAAGTCAGAGATGCCTTGCAAATTCCAGAGGAGCATTCATGCTCTCCCCGGGCTGGGGTATGCAGAGGGAGGCAAGAAGATCTGGAGGGATGGCAGGATTTCAACGGGGGGCTCCAGCTGGGGGTTGGAAAAGATCTAGGGGCAGCATTCCTAGGCACCTGTTCAGGGGACAGTGCACACACCAGGTTTATGCTAAGGAACTATGGGAACTCCTTATAAAGAAGCAGCCACTCCCTAGCTGCCAGAACCCATGATACTAAGCACCCTGCATACTATCTCTCATAGTTCTCAAAGCATTCCTAAGAGGTTGAGTTCACCACTCTACAGAAGAGGCTGGGAGATGAGATTTCTCAAAGTTGCCTACCTGCAAAGCTGCAAAGACAGTTTAAATCACAGCTGTTTTCCACCAACACACCAGGCTTTTGGACCTTAGCAAATACTGAGAATTCACTGATGCTTTTGGAGGAAGGGCATGGTATGTGCATTAGAAAAATTAATGGAGGGGCAGGATGATTGGAGTGGGCAGGGTGGACAAAAAGGAGAAGAGAGTGGAGGCAAAGGAGCCTGGGAGCCAAAAAAACCCATCAGATGTGTCTTTAGGGCCTGCTGTGTACCAGGCCCTGTACACTTCGCAGGGCAGGTGAGGAGGGCCTGGTAAATGCAGGTGAGGAGAGAAGGCAGTGAAGATCACAGCAGGAAGAGGAGCTAACCTTGGATTAATTCACTTCCTCACCACACTGTGGGGCAGCCTGCTAACATCCCATCTTACAGGTGAAAAAACCAAAGCACAGAAAGGCGAAGTCATTGTTATTTTTCTAAATCAGTGACTGGTAAGAGGCAGAGCAGAGTCAGGAACCCATGTAGTTGGGTACTCACAGCCCATGCTCTTCAGTGGTCCTGGGATGCTGCTTGGGAGAATAGAAGAGAGAGAGGGAAAGGACCTCTCACAGGCACTGGCCTCAGGACCTGCACCGCATACAGCTCAGTGTCCAGGTCACAGGCAGGTGGGGAGGGGCCCGTGATGCCAGGAGCATGCCCGCAGGGCTCCAGGGCCTTAGTCTCACTGTTCCCACAGCAAAGCTTCTTGGGGAGAAGAAGCACAGCCCAGCACTTGAGGCACTCCCAGCCTGGACCAGGGCTCCTGCCAGCAGCTTGAAAATGACCTTGTGAGCCAGGCCTGTTGCCACAGGAACTCTCTGCCCTTACCACAGGCCGTGTGATGCCCTGTACCACCTCCTGCTGAGTGATGGGGCTGGGGACTGCAGAGAGACCACATCACCCCGAGAGAGGGCTTCTCCTTGCCAGTTTCACAATGGGACACTAATAGTAACACAACAACTTAATTCAATTCCTTTAAGGAGCAAAAACACAATGCTCAACTGGCTCACAAACATTTAACATTTTCTCTTCCACTTTGAGGCTGTGCCATGGGCAAACTTTGAAGTTTAGGAAAGTTTAGACTTGTTTGAGTCATGTGCAAAAATGCCTTTGGGTGAAAAGGGGAAGAAAAAAAAAGCCCACACTACTCCTTCTCTCCTGGAGACTTTGGGGCTCCAAGAGGCTTATCTACAAAATTCTCCTGCAAAGGGGTCCTGGGGACCAAGCTGGGTTTGCCCCCTCCCCTTGTGCTCACTATCCCTTGGGAATTGTTAGCCTCAGTGACCAGATCAGGAAGAGCCAAAAGCACTCCCTTGAGACCTACCCCATACCTCCGCTGCCAGGAAAAGGCACCCTTGCGCCATCCCTGAGCCCCTACATGTTCCTCTGTGAGTTAAGAGTCCTTAGAGAGGACGAGACTACCTACCCTTATCCTTGGCTACCCCCGATTTAGTGCTTCCAAGTCATGAGGCTCCTTTCCCCTAATTTCTGTCCAATGAGGCCACCAGAGGAAGAGACAGAGCAAAACACCACTCTCTGCAGGACCACAGAATTTCCTACTCACCCACAAGGTTCCCCAAAGCCTGAGCAGCCTATTCCCTTGTGACTCCAGGACACAGGGGCCCCAGCTGAGGAGGGCCTGGGGCTAGCTCAGCTCCCCACCCCACCCACTGGAGCTGAGGGGCAGGTCTCTCACCAAATCTGCGTCCTGGCTGGTAATTTCAGTGCTCCTGTAAATAGCAGCAGGCTTCTTCTATCTCTGCCAGGTTTACCCAGGTCTCAACCTCCCTCAGATGGAACTGGGTGGCCACAAAAAGGGGGCAAGATAGAGCTAGGGTGGTGGCCAGGACACCTGGTCTTGGGCCCAGTTTTGTCCCTGAGATTAGGTTCATTTTCCACACCAGGGACCCAAGTTGCACAAGAGAGTCAACCTCCAGATTCCTCCGCACGCCAGCCCAGAAACCTACAGGAATCTGGGGGCCTGAGGGCAGGGGTTCCTGATCACTGAAGAAAAGCTCTTGATCCCGCATGAGCATGATTCTGGAGCCACACCAGTCTGCAAACTTTGGCTGGTCCCCTTCAAACTGTACCAGCTTGCACAAAACGCATGTGCACACATTCACACGAGAACAGTGTTAACTTCACGGAGCCTGGCAACAGCAAAAAAGAGGCTTCCAACCCAGTTCCCACAGGCTGTGATGCTGCGAGCATCTCTTGGCTTCCTCTTCTAAGAAATAGGCCCACAGGTCTTTCTCACAGGGATTTCACTGGGTGGCTGAGGAAATTAATCCTTAATCTCTCTGAAAGGAGGGACACTTGCAAAGGATTCCATCCTGGGTGGCTCCCTGTGCTCAGAGGCCATACTAATAGTGCTAAGGAGCAGAGCCAGGCCATGCCTGTCTCCTTTCCCTTTGCTCCCATGGGACACCAGGTCAGCAGTTCTAGCTCCTGCACAGGATCCCTCTGTCCCTATCCCCCCATTTAGGAGGCTCCGCTTGGCTCAGTTCATCCAATCCCCAGACCCAGAAGAGATTTTGTTCTCCCTGCTCAGGAGTTTAGTCTCTTTTCTTCATTTCAGACCCTCTTTGGAGAGAGAAGGAGGTGGAAGAGAAGGCGCAGACTCATCGGAGGACGAGCACCAAGAACAGGCTGGAAAGGACCAGGTGGGAGAAGAAGCACTGGCCGAAGACTGGGGAGCCTCCCTTGGCTCCGGGGGCCGGCAGAAGAAAGCCAGGTGGCAATGGGGGAGCAACGAGGGGAGAGGTGAGGCGACAGGCAGGCCTGGGCAGGGCTGGGAGCAGGACTAGAGAGGAAGTGAGAAGCTGGAGCAGCCCCAGCGATGGGGGTTGCGGGTGAAGGAGAGGACAAAAGAGGGAAGCAGAGCAGAGGCTGGGGAGGCAGGGCAGGCTCTCCACCCAGGATCCTTAGGCCTGCTGTGTGCCCTTGGGCAAGTCACTTTCCCTCTCTGGCCTGCTCCCCCCTCACCTGGAAATGTGAGGTTGGACTAGATGATCTTGAAAGGTCCTCACACCTGAGGAACCTAAGGGTTCAATGGAGAGGGCTGAAAGAGGAGCAAGAGCCCCAGGCCCACAGTCCTCCTCCCAGCCTCATGTTCTTCCTTGGCACCCTCCTGCTGGGGCATCTCAGCTTGCCTGGCAGGAACCCTGAGTGTCAGTGGGGCCTCTTTTAGGCTGAGGGAGGTAACAGACTGGCAGAAGGCCCACGACCTAGTCTCAGGTGAGTGTGCCTCCCTGGACTCTGATGCCAGCCTCTTCCAGGTCTCAGCCTTGGGGTACATTGCTCCATCTGCCTGGTGGACTCCAAAACATTATTTGGTGAGCCACGGCTCTCACTGAAATGAGAGGTGGGAGCTCCTGCGCCTTCCACAGGGTGGGGGCCGATTCCACACTTGCCTGCCCCCTTCCTCAGGCTAACTGCATAATTATGCAGCAATAGTACTAACTGGCACTTAACACACCAAGTCCTGTGTAAGTACATTATTTATATAACAGCCTAACGACTTGTTTGCTGCCCTGGAGAGTGAGGGGATCAAGTGCAAGGGCTTAGCTACTATCAGTACCATCTTGGGGACACCATGTGTGGATCATAACTCAAGGGAGCCATGATTCCCACAGGCCCACTGCCCTGCAGGTCCCATTCTGGTTTAGCAGAGGTACTGAGGAGCCAGCCCTTTCAGGTAGAATTTGTTTACATCGCTCCATCTACTCTAGGAGGTCAGCTGGAGGAGCTGTCACCCATTCCCATCCCCTCGAGGACTGCCGAGGATCCTCTAGAAGGGTGCAATTCCTTTCCAGGCAGAGGGAGACAATTCAAACCAGGCTGGCAAATTTGGAAAGACTCCTAGTCACCGCCCAAGGAAATAAGAGGCCTTGCCCAATATAGGCATTTATGAGCCTGGAGGCAAAAATTTCTCTTCTCTCTCTGAGCCCTGCCCAGCCTAGCCCTACCCAGCCCAGCCCTGTCACCCCAGGCTTGGCTGCTCCTGGGACCACAGCCCAATTCTCCTGGCCTGGTCTGGGTGTTGGTTCCCGTGCCATACTTATTTCTCCTGGGAGTGCTCAGTGGACAGCTTCACAGATGCTAACTTCACAGTGGCTGTGGCAGGTCTCAGGGATCTTGGAGATCCAATCCTGGTCCTACCCTCCTTTCTACTATCCCAAATTATCTCTTTCCTTCTCCTTGCAGCCCTCACTCATAGCTTATGAAAGTTCTAGCACTAACCAAAACAAGCACCACTAGAACTTTCAGGCTCCTGACTCTTGGGGCCCCTGGCAGCTATGAATACTACAGTTCACTGGAGAGCAGGACCTATAAGATGTAAGCAGATATGACAGGGACATAGGGTCATCCTTTTTTTTTTTTTTTGTCCAGCCAGATTTTTGTTGATAGTTACTGGGAAATCATACTTTCCCTTTGGGTCTCAGTGATTACTTATCTTCAATCCAAGGGGAAACCGAAATGCTAAGGCCATCCTAGCAATAAACCTTCAGAGAGTCTCAAGACATGTTCCGAGCTCTGGGAACTTTGTCCCTTGACATTGGCTGCAGCCCTTCCAGCCAGCCCTCTAGCAGTTCCTCCCCCATCTCTGGTTGTGGATGCCCATGCGAAGCAGGGTATACACACACACATGCACACATGCATGCACACACACCATGTGCACACACAGATGGCTGCAGGAGCTCTGAGCACCTACACTGGGCTGGTGGCTGCTTCCAAATGCTGTGCAGTAGCATCTGATCAACATCTCCCATCATCAGCACAACAATGACAGTTAGGAGGTAGACAATGACATTGACCCCAGTGGTCCTCTTGGACCATCCTCAACTTCCATCTGCTTTCTCCACCCTGCCTCTGCCACTCAGGCTTCCCGGTAGTCTGGCTCTCTCTCCACCACTCTGGAGCAATTGGTTCTGAAAACTGTGGTCAATGAAATGCCCACTGCAAGCCTTTGTCTAATTGCTCACATTGTTTTGGGGTCCTGACTGATGTCCAGCAGAGTGCCTCTTTGATGTGTTTTTACGCAGTCTTTCCCTGTAAAAGGTTCTGCAGCTCCAGCATCACCAATCCACTTCCTAGTCCCAGGGCTCCATTAGTGTGGGGACGCCTACCAGAACCTTTGTTCCCTTGCCCCTGCCTTGGGTTTGCCTGCTCCTCAGGTCACCAGGCTCAGTGCAGACAATGCTTGCTCATCACCTGCTTTGTGACCAGCACAGTGCTGCTCACCATAGGATACAAAGACCGCCTGTCCTCAGGGAGCTTACAGTCAGAAGGGAGACAACACTTATATCAAGGGACACAACAGCAAAAACTTATGGATAGTTTCCAAAGAGAGGATTAGACTAAATCTCCTAGAAGTTCCTTGGAGGGAGAGTTAGGTGTCACCAGGTGGCCTACCCAGGTGAGCTTCCTGTAGAAGAAAGTGGAAGATTCCAATTAGCAGAAAGAGCTGGAGTTGGGATGAGAGGTGGGGGCTGGAGGATGGAGCTGGGGGAAGGTGCATTGACTGGTAAGGGAAACCTAGTCTCCACACCTGTGCTCACAAGCCTTTTCCCGACCCCATCCCTTCAGGTCTAGGAATCCCATACTTTTTGCAGTGGTTTTAAGTGGAGCTCAGCCTCAATCACAGCTATCTTTCTCTAGCTGCCTTCCAGGGTTCTGTATAGAAGAATGAAGCTTCCTTCTCAAATAAATGAATATACACACAGGCACATCCACCCAACAATGAGCTCCTCTGCCAAATTCCCTAGGTTCCTCCCACTTCATTCTCTCTCCCTCTCTGTCTCTCTCTCTTTCTCCCTCTCTCGTTCATCCTGCCATATATCTCACAGCATCATCCTTCCTATCATATCCCTCCCGCCCATTACATAACTCTGTTTGGGATTATTTTTGCCCAGAGGTATGAGCTACATTTCTGCATATTTAAGCCTCCTTGATTCATTCCTGCCTGTTTCTTAGTTCTGTTTGCCCAGGTGCCCGCCCCACCCACTAGCTCTGAGGTCCCTGGAACATTCCCACATTGGGCTCAGCTTACCCACAACTACCAGCTTTTCCATTCCAGGACCAAAGGAATGGATGCCAGGCCAACCAGGGGCCCCCTGAGATAGGCCCTAGGCCATGGTAGACCCTGAGGCTGGTTCTCATTAGGCTACAACAGCCCATGACCTTCCACTGCCCTCCATTCTCCCCTTCCAGTGAGACACGGTCCTGGATCTCCTAGTTTTTTCTGTCTTCCACCCAAGCTCTGTGGCCATAGGGTGTGGCCCTGTAATTCAAGGGGCGAAGGGGCAGTGGGAGGAAAGACAAAATAGTAATTAATGGTTTGTTTCCTATTAGCTTCTTACAAATAGAATGGCTTGATGTAATTACTGAAATGGTTGCAAGGGGCTCTTGTTGCACTGTAAAATAATTATCTGACAATCATTATTTTATTTTTAAGAGCTCATTAACAAATAGGTTGTAAATGGCTTTCTCGCCTTATTCCTGCTGCAGAGACAGGGTGAGGTAGTGGGTAGAGGACAATGGAATGGCAAGAGCCTTTCTGTCCGGGGCCATGGGTTGAAATGAGGATTTGGTTCAATAGCTTCCAGTTTCTATGAGGAAGTGGCGCCAGCTGAGCTGCCGAGGCTTGACAAGCTTGGTGGTAGCCAGGGCCCCCTGGGTCCTGCCACATTCCAGTGGTGTCTGATGCAGGCCCCAGATCTCTAGCTCACCAGGGAGGACACTGAACTCTTCAGAAGAGAAAGCCACCAGAACTTTGCTCCTGGAATGACAGCACCACTATGGCTAACACCACATCCTATGCACTGATGGCCTTGTTCAAATGCCACCAGCTTAGTTATTGCCCTCTGACCACGTGCCAGCCTGCACCATCCTTCTCCACAGTCCTGCTCTTCTAACACCTCTGAGTATTGCTGTCTGATTTGCAAGTAGCAGAATTACATAGCTTAAAAGATTATGAAAGGCTATGTGGTAAATTTTAGATGATCAGCTCGTTAACAGCAAAGAATTATGGTGACATTTGTAAAGTAAGAGATGAGATGGGGGTGCAGGAGAAGCTTTCTTGGAGTGTGGACAGGCTGGCAAGGCTCAGAGTGGGAACCTGAAAGGTAGGCTTGGAGAAGGAGGAGGATTCCAGCTTGACAGATACAAAGGCACGTGTAGGGGGCCATGGGAGCAAAGGCTGGGAAAGTGGGTGGGCAGCAGGCTGTGTGGAATGCTTGGAGCTCATACTAAGGAATGAGGCCATCTTGAGGGGTTCTGCCCAGCGAGATGATCCAACCCAAGCTCAATTCGGGAAGCTCATCTGGCCACAAAGTGCAGGGCAGAAGGGAGCAGGAGTCTGAAGGTATCAAGATTCACCAGCGTAACAATTTTCAAAATGGGTTACAACCACCTGCTATAGCCTCACTGAGGTGCTTGTTACAAATGCAGAGTACTGAGCCTATCTAGAACACTCTGAGTTACAGTCTCTAGGGTGGAGTCCCGATGTGGTATTTGTTACTATTCTGCTTCAGATGGTACATGAAACACCCTTTAAGAAACCTGGCCCTGGAGCATCTAGAGAATCCAGTCCTCACTGCATAATTGGCATTTAAAACTTTTTTTTTTAAAGCTGGGGAGTGAACCTAGGCCCTCATATATGCTAGGAAATCATTCTACCACTGAGTTACATCCCCAGCATAGCTAACACTTTCTATTACATGTGCCTACCATCAATTGTTCTTTTATAATTGCATTGTAAA